TTTTTTTCCGTTTTGGTTTTTTTTTTTTTTTTTTTTTTTTTGTTAGTTGCCCCCTCCAAGATTGTACTGGGGTTAAAACTAAGGAAAAATAAATGCAAATTGAAAGGTTTTTTGATACTAAGGCAGAGCTGCTTGGCCTGCCATAAACCTCTCTCCCAGCATCTCTCTGAGATGCCCCTAAGGAATGTGGCAGATGGTTGTGCCTTTTCAAGTACCAAAGAGGTAGCAGAGGCCAGCCTTCTCTCCTTCTGCCTTGGCGTTTGTACCAGAAAGCTGGGATCATTCCTAGTCATGAGAGGGAAGCCTCTGTCCCAGGTCTCACTGTTGCTCAAAGGAATAGCTGTCTTCTGTGTGTACTGAGCCTGTGCCACTGCTTTTTCAGGCAGCCTGGTGTCCATCAGCTGCTGGGACACCCACACAATCCCACAAATTACAGGACTCTCTGCAAGGACAGCTCTAAAAATACCCAGCCATCATAAATTATCCTGAAATGAATTGTTTTAAAAATAAGTTTTGAAATAACTGTTTCTCTCTGTCTCCTGCTAAAATCTGCTGGTAAAGAAGCCACTTAGCTTTCCACACATACCAGCACTGGTTGCAGCCAGAGACTCATGCTTCCTATGTGCAAGCCAAAACCCTGCTGCCTGATGCAAAAACAGAGCTGGATCTAGGGCATCCACACCCAAGTTTGCAGGGTCCTAAAAAGACATTGCCTATTGCTTGCCAGAAGCTGGCAGCACACGAAGCCACAGGCAATTATTATCCTCATAAATAACAGTAAGCCCGGCAAAGGAGTAATGTGACTATCAGAACACAAATGGAAGGGAAAAATGTGGGCTGTATTTGACAACAGCAAATCAAATTCTTCCCCGGATTAGCCATGTGCAAGTCCAAGGAATAGCTAGTTTGTCCTTATATATGAAAGCCAGCCAGAGCCTCTGCTAACAGATGTGCCCAAAGCTGTGGAGTGCACACATCTCATGCTCACCGTTAGCATTATCTTCAGTCTTGACAGGCACGAGGGGGCTCTGGGGAGCAGAATCTCCACTGAGGGAATAGCTGTGCTCTGCCTGGATGCCTGGAGTGGGTGGATCCAGGTCCATGTCCAGCAGAGGGTTCTTCTCAGCCAGTACTGGGTCATCGAAGAAACTGCTGAAGAGGTCATTGGAGAAATCCTCCATGTTGTCAGAGAAGTGATCCAGGTTCTCTGAGAAATGCTGAGGTAAGACAAAGGGGGAAAGAGCATTAATGTCAACTCCAAGAGGGATCTGAGAGCCTTCCTCTGCACTGAGAGTCAAACCTCAGCATCAGCCCTTTTTGCAAGGCAAAAAAACAGTTCCTATTCCTCACCTGCATCAGTCTGACAATAACACCTTGATAAGATAGAAAGAGATGTGGTGCTGTGCATCACTGCATGTTTATCTATGCCACAAACACGCATGAAACTTTTCTACATTATCTTATCTCCCCCTTCATTTGTGAGTATCTATCTGTGTCTTCCAGACATCATCTCACTGTGACAACAAAACGAACAGAGTACCAGGAAAGAGATTCCTGCGATGACAAAATGTACGTGTGGCAGAAAGTCATGGTCTCAGCACCTGTCCTTAGTGACACTTTTTCATGTTCTCTGCCAGCAGCAATAGACACATTGATGCCCCAGAGAACATCAACCCAGCTGCTGATTTCTATCAGAAAAAAAAGATCAGTTGGATCAACATAACAGGAAGGCCCCCTGTTGTATTTAATTTCCTCTGGGATTTAACAGCCCCTCTGTGGACCATATGAGGTTGTACTTCAGCCAGATAATGCCTGTGAAATTTAGCTCCCCGATGAAGTTTAAACACTACAGATGGGCTGTTAACAACAAACAATCATTCCACTAATCATTCCAGTAACAGTCAGTAAATCTGGCCAGTGCTGCTGCAGAGCTGAGCTCCTGATGCTACAGGGAACCTGTTTCCTTTGAGGCATATCCTCCTATTCAGAAGTCAAATCACTAACTTTTCCATTTGCTACAACAAAGCATTGGTTGGGCAGGGAGAAAAATGATGGCTGCCAAACACCAGCTGAAAAATTATCCCATTTGTTGGCAGATTGAGGCTTCTGGCTCAGGGAGAGGAAAGAAAAGACAGATAGATTCAAGAGACTATATTACACAGACAGAACTGTGTAACTTAAATGAACTGGAGAGAGCTCAGCAGAGTCAGACTGGGTCTGTCCCCACACCCCCTGCCTGGAAAAGCATCTTGGTGGGCAGAAAGGCATTGAAAGCAGTATACTGAAATACCAAGAGCAACAGGGTATGAATGAGAGTGGGAGAGACCACGTAGGTCCTAGAGTGGAGACATGAATGCCAATGAATTCCAGTGTGACAGCTCAGCTCAGGAGAGAGCCTGGCTTCTAGAGAAGCACTGGGTGTGTGCACTCCTTTCTTTCCCCAGCGCTAAGACTGAGGCAGGAGGTGACCAGAGGACCCCGGATGCTGGAGCCTGCAGGTTCCTGCTCCTACCGGAAGGTATATTTGTTTTACCTGAGTGTAGTACCACTCTGTCAACATTCCACTGGCTGTCAGAGCTTTGGGGTGAGGCTGGGGAGTGAAGCAGGCTCTAGATGAACAGACCCACACTTCCCACCAAGTGGGGGAGGGAGATGGTAAGTGGCAGCAATCTCCAATATGTCGGTGCCTTTCACCCTCCAACATCATCCTTCAGCTGCTCAATATAAAACCTCAGATGCTTACAGAGCATGCTGGAAGCGGGGGTGGAGTCCCTGCCACCTGCATTGACTGACATGAGATTTCTCTCCATTCACCTCCTTCCCACTTGTCCTCCGACTGCCTAGAGTGACAGCCCCACAAACGACCATCCAAGGCTTCCCTGGAGACCAGACACTCATGTGCAAGGAGGGTGGAGAAGGCACACTCGTGCTAAATCCTAGTGTTGAGGCCCTCCCTGCAATGTCTGGGCTAAAGTTTTCTCCACTTGTTCCCACAGCAGAAGCAGAGTTGGCGGGATAGTTTGGTAAAATCTACCCAGCCGTTTCCAAGTTGCCTAGGAGCATTTTTGCACTTGAATCAAGTAACAGAAAAACACCTACCATCTGTGGGGAGTGTAACTTCAGAGGGAGCTGAGTCAGCAGATGGAACTGGGTTAGATAGTTATCTAAAAAGCACTGGAAAACCAGGTTTTGTCCTATCCTACAGCATAGAAGGATAAAGAGTTTGGAGTCCTGAGTATTAACCCCAGAGAGTGCCTGCTCATGTAACAGCTGTTCTTTGTCTTGTGTTCTCTAAACAACACAAGCAAACACAGGATGTGAACACGATAGCCTTATGGTAAGGGTGAGAACCACAGAAAAGTGAAGGGATTCAGAGTGCTGGCTGCTAATGCACCACGACACAGCAGAGCTAGGCTCAAATTATATTTAGTGTTGTGACCATCAAAACTAGAACCACTGTGTAGCCATGGAAGAGAAGCAGAGCTGGATAGACAGTTGTGGGGAGAGCTGTCTGTGACATGCTTCCAACTTCTTTCACAACTGTGCATTAACAAAGGCAGAGGTGGGATTGAAGAGAGTCATGTAAATGCATTCATGCAGTAGTCACACAGATTATCTTCTAGCGGCATCCCACCCACATTTACAACAATGATCCCTTGGTCAGTCAACAATCTCTCCATTGTTGGACAAAACTACCTAGAAGGAAGAGTTGGAGATGCACCTCTGGCTTTATTCCAAGACTAAAAGAAATCACCCCAGCAGCTGCTGAGGGGTGAGAGAAGAGTAATGAGTGCAAGGGACTGAGTATCAGAGCCTTAACACAGGCACCAACACTGGCAGGAGTAATTTCAGGTTTCTGGTTCTTTTAGACACCACCCAGCAGATTTGCTGCTGGAAGACCTCGCTGTTTGGAAATGACAATGAAGGTAACACTGTTCTCCCAGAGGTGCAGGAGTTCAGGTGCCCAAGAGACCATTCTCTCCCAAGAGACAGAGGCCTACCGCACAGTACAGGAAAAACATGGGTGATGGACGGAGAATGAAATTTGCACCCCTCTATGGGAATCCAGAAATGTTGGGGCATCTACCCATCTCTGGCCTTCTGGGTCCTATCCTTCATGACAACTAAATACTGGCAAAGTCTTCTCATCAAAGCAGCCTCTACTGATGAAACACGAAGGTGTTTCAGTTCTCACCACTCACACATATAGCAGTCCAACATCTCCAAACACAGACAGTGGAGAAAAGGGATGTAGCCCGTGAGATTTGCCGTAATTATGGTTATTATTTATTATCAAATTAGTTATTATCAAAGGGGGCACCAAGGATCCAACAGCCTCAAGAACGGAGGGCACCTAGAGCTGACACAAAGCTGGAGATTGCTGTTTTATTCAAAGAAGGTGGCAAGAGGCAGAGGAAAGCAGCAGAAGGAAGGGTAAAGCTAACAAAAATAATAACATGGCTTTGTAACTGGCTATACCCACAATGGAAATTATGGGACCAGCAGGAAGCTGTCACCACATCCCAGGAAGACTACTGGGGCTCTTAGGTTGACTGTTCTCTCCTGAAGCCAACAGGTATTGTTAATTTTAGACTTCTAATTTGTATAAGACAGCTGTGCATTCAACCACATGGTAAGAAGAAAGTGTCCTCTTGTCAAGATCCAACTGTGATAGACACAGTGAGGAGCAACCCAGAGTTTATTTTGGCTAGATGCCATCAAAACTGCTACTAATTAGTTTAGATTGAGCCTTTTAACCCAGAATATGCAAATTTTGTCCCACCCAGCCTAATTCTGGGAGCTGCACTTATCTTGCAAAACTCAGAGAAAGCTTCAGCCGTACTCTTCCTTTGCATGTGTGAAGGAGGCTTCAGGGAACTAGGATACGGTGACTTGGCTGTGTATATCACAGCAGCACATGGCAGGGTCAGTGGTCCAAGTTTCTGAGCAATGAAGAGAAGCAGGTTTATCACCTTGTCACCTGATCAAATAGATAGTAGCTTTATCCTTGCTGGAATGGAAGGTGCTGGGTGGTCACTAGCCCTCCATTCCCACCCAGGCTGGGCCCAGCACAGCTAAAGGTCTTCATGTGCTGCCACAAAATGACAAAATGGCGACTGGGCTTTGGGGAGACTTTTGCCAACACAATGGCAACAAAGGTCTCAGCAGACCAGGGATGGTCCAAGAAGGAGTCCATGGAAATTTGGGTGTGAATGGAAGTGGGATGGACAGAGATACACACGCACAAAAGCCTCATCCTCTCACAGCTTCTTCAAGACCAAAACTCTTTGAGAGTGCCCTCCAGCCGGGCTGAGACCAGCCAGCTCCTGCTCCTCAGAGGATTGGACAAGAATTTCTAATAGTGACAATGAAGGACTCTGAAACTCTGTTGAGATTCTCCTTTAAGATATTTCAAGTATCGCTCATGCAGATGGGTCTGGCTTTAGCACAGGGGACCAGTCAACAGGGAAACTTGACCCTTACTATCCTGGCCTAGAGGGAGTGGGTGTGCAGTGTACTGAGGGAAAACAGTTTCCAGATGGGATACAAAGCTCACAGCACAGTCTCATTTTGCATTATTTGCTCCTGTTATCTTCCCCTCCCCTTCACACCCTCCTTCCTTCTCCTTCTAACTATGCTCCAAAGCCAAGAAATAGCACGAGATGTGTTTCCAAAGCTGTATTACCAGTGAGCGGTCAGGGAGGGGGCAGCCAAGGGACAGAAATGCAATGGCGAGGATGTGCTGGATTTCCTGATCCAAGCCTGATTTCTGGCTGCCTGTCCCCCTCAAACTCTAGGAGGATGGGGAGGCAGCACCCAAAGAGGATGAGCCAGTGTGTACAGGTATGGGGAGGCAACAACCATTGCATCTCTAGGCCCTACAGAGAGACTTAATCTGTTCTGGTGCCACAGTAGAATCTGCTCAGGCTGAGGCCACTACAGCCATGGGGAGAGAGTGAGAATCTGTCAGCTCCTGGCTTCTGCTCCCTCCCACTCCTGGTGATCGACATAGGCACTGACTTTTCCAAACATATTTCCACCACATGTTTTCATCCTGACCTCATGCTTAGGGTTGTCTAAATAGCACACTGTATGTGTGTGCGTGCACTTCTCATTCAAACACCCTTTCCTGTTGTACAACAGTTATCTTGGGAGCTAATGTAAGGCATCCAGATATCCAAATGCAAGCTCTACATATACCCCCACCCAGAGCTGA